AAAGAGTTTATCAATACGGTTTTACGGTGAATACATTTAATGTAATTACACTTGAAACTCTTTATAAGGAAACTCATGGACAAATAACTTTTATCGTTGCAGAGAGTTATTATATTAAAGAGCATTGACAAGCAACCAAATTCACAATTATTTTTAATAATTACCTATTTGATACAATAGTAACGAAATTATTCTTAATACAAATAGTCTGTTACTTGGGCCTGAAGTTTTTTTGCTATTCATCAACATCATCAACAGCCTATAACAGTCCACTGTTGAACATAGGCCTCTCCTTAGAAAGGAGGTTTTGGCCTACTATACCACGCTGGCCAGACGGGTTGGTATAGGGTTTGTTTCAAGTTTTCCTTCTTTTTGCAGTGCTGTTGTCCTGCGTAGTTTGCTCCCTTAGTCGGCTTTTACGACACCCACGGGATGAATAGGGGTGGTGACATTCCGTATTCTTAATCCGTCACCACACGGACTTTGCTATTCCCTATGTTTAATTACGGACATTAACGAAGTACCTATTCAAGTAAATAAGTATGAAACATCGCCTATAGACACTTGCTACCTACTGAAGAGTTCTCAGTGCGTTGCCACCCTTTGTTTCTCCAACAAGAAGTAGGAGGAGCATGGATTTGGCACTCCGATAACAATATATTATAGATGGATTATCGAAGCTATGAAAGCGTTGTGTCCTATCATTGTCAAGGCATGACTATACAGTTATCGCCGAGTTCGTCTGTCTACCTACTTTACAATATCTATGTACCTATAATCATATTTAATAATAACCAGGGAGAGACATTGGAGATCAGAAGGCCAACTCTCGTAATAAAAGTTCGGTCGCAAATCAGGTCCGATCAACTTTCGACCTCACATTTTTTCACCTCACATTTTTCACCAGAGGTATGTAATACCCTAAATAAGAGATCGCGTTAATTCCCGTTAAATAATATTCATTTCGACCTCACAACTGTCATTAAAGGTATTTTTTGTAGTAAATTATTAAACATCCAACGTTGACTGTAATGTGATTATATCGTAATGTAACCAAAAATTGAATCAGTAATCTGCTAGTCTTAGAAATTTTTGTAAAAGTTGTGATATTGAAACTTGATCGGAGGTAAATTGTAACCGAACTTTTATTACGAGAATTGACCTTCAGGAGATAAAGCTTAAAAATACATATTTGCCTATCAAATGTTTTGAAATGTTCCCATCTCATCATTCTACTCTATTGTTTCCGATTCAGTGCTTCAGGTACTTCCCTATTTCTCTCCTTTATTACTTGTAAAATTGAAATTATTGTGGGAACACAAAATATAAATGAATTCTTAAAACTCCTCGCGGTTGCTAACATAAATATCTTTCATTATTCTAATCGTGCACAAATAAAAAAAAAAGTGAAGTAGGTACATAAGTTAGTCATTGGCCATTCTTACAAAATTTTGTTCTTACCTACCTAGGCACTTGAAATTGACCTAATTAGCCTTGTAGGTGGGTAAGTGCAATTACAAAACACTCATATCGCCTTCTATTCCATAGAAATGTCGCATGATATGACTAATTCAACTGAAACAAAACAAAATCTATGAAATTACAAAGTTTCCGGCTTGCTACGTATTTCCATAATACATCTATTACCCACAATTTGCATACCACAGGGGTGATTACGCATGGAATAATCTGAGCTAATGTTACCAATATATATGTAATTATAATGTAGTCGATATTAATTATCTGCACTAGCTGATTGTAAGATATAAGTAGTGTAGTTCATTCTAAAAGGTACAATGATAGATTTAAACCCATAATTTGTAATTAGAGCATAGATCCGATATTTCATGCTTTAAATGATAATTTTGAATTATTAATGTTTGATAAAATGTCGAGAGTAACAGTTGATATTTAGGGTTAATTAAATATTTCAATATTCAACGTTTTAATCGCATTGTATTTATATTCACTGCCTCGGTAGTGCAGTGGTAGCGTATGCGACTCCTGTGCACAGGGTTCGATTCCCGGGTCGAACCAAATGTTTGTAAGATCTACAAATATTTGTTGCAGAGTTTGGGTGTTTTCTATGTATAATATGTATGTATCTACAAAAAAAGTGATCTATCAGTCAATTTGGCTTTCAAAGTATAACCTCTGCTTAGTTTGAAACTAGATGACGTTGTGTGTTAGATGTCCGAAAATATGATTTGTACTATTGTTTATATTGGGGACCGGCAAATCACAATCCTAAATATAGTTTTTGCTGCTTATATAGATTGAAAGAGCTTAAGAGACATTAAACTGCATTTATTTTTAATTTTAAGCACTTATTACCTATTTATAAATATCTCAAACTGTTGTTCAGGGTCTTGTTTTGTGTTCAAGTGGCCTTAAGAAGAATAATTTGAATTAACTTATGTTATTAGCCTTTTTCTTTCTCAACTGTTTAGCGTACCTTCATAAGATTAACCTGTTAACCGGGGAGTTCCCGTTCAAATTATGCAACATGTACCGGGCGCGTATTGTTTCGCTAGGACATGTCAATACGTCACGCCCGGAGACCGTCATTTCATATTTATATATTTTTATTTATTCATACAATAAATGAAAAACTATGAAATATATTTAGTTTAAGTACAAAAGGAATCACAAAACAAGTAAAAGCAAGTAAACAAAATAGAATTACAGAGGACGTATTCATATGTCCTACCCGTACCCGATATTGTTTGCGCCTGACGCATTTATACTAGACTTGCAACGAATAGTATATTCGGCAGTATACCGAATACCGAATATTCGGCGAGGCCCCTGACCGAATAGCCGAATATTAGGCAAAAGTATTCGGCTGGATTTTAGCGCCAAAAACTTGTACAGACGTGAATTAAATTATGTACCTGTTTTATGTGCCAATGACTACTTAATAAATGATTATAAAAGAAATGAGAACCTTACCCTTCTAAATTTTGATTAACACAATAATTCAAATACATAGAATCCTCCATTTTTCCAATTCAGAAGATGATTATGTACCTGTGTTATGCACCAATGACTACTTAAATGATTATAACAGAAATAAAAATATGAATATATACGTAATCAATCGTTTTTAATTTTTCATTTTACCAATTATTTCTCAATGACAAAATATATTACTTAAGTATTCAGTATTCGGCCGAATAATATGTAGATATTCGGTATTCGGCCGAATATAATAAAAGCAGCCGAATAGGCCGAATACCGAATAGTAACCGAATATTCGTTGCAAGTCTAATTTATACGTCTTGTCCGGTAAACAGGTTAAGAAGATCTCTACATTCATATTTTGATCGTCGTAAATTATAAAAAAACTGTGTTAACAACAGTTATGTATTACTTCCTTAGATTTGCTTTCCTGAGTTTGGGTAGGTAGGTAAAAATATAGAGGAGAATATTGTTTACTAGTACTGTTTTTTAATATATTTTAGAGTATATAATATTGTTTAGGAGTGTAATAAAGAGTAGGATAAAAGAAGAAACAAAAATAAATTTGTATTTGGTTTATTGTGCCATTTCATAAATAAACAACTACCGTGATTACCTTTTTTACAGTTGCATCTAGATATACCTAATTACAAAAAAAGTAAAACTACAACATTAAAAATATTATATGGAATGATTATTTTTTTAAGAAAGTATCTAACACTAATGTATTATACACATTTATGCTACGATATCACAGAATCTTATTAACGTCAATATTAGATAATATAAAAGTGATTGTTCATTTCTTTGAGAGCCATTTTTAATGCGTTGTCAATTCTTATGTTGTATTAAATTGAAATAATCAATTGCTTGTAAGTACAAAATGTGTCACCAACCAAACAAACTTCAATAAAATTATACTCGTATTGTAATCAAATTTAAATCTATGCGTTGCCCTCTAAGTAAATGGTCTATCAGTGTTGTTGGGTTGAAAATCTAACTGTTAATTCTTTCACAAGTACTTATCAGGTGTTTTTAATATGTTACCTGTTTGACCACCTATCGAACAAGTTGGTATTTTAAATTATTGTACAATAATAAATAGGGCTAGTATCATCATCGTTATCATCAATAGTCTTTAATAGTAAAGGAGGTTTTGGGATGCTATACCACGCTGGCCAGACAGGTTGTAAAAATAATAATTGTTAAGACTTGTCTTTCTTATGTTAATGTTTGCAAAGTAAAATGCACAAGTTTATTGCAAGGTTAAAGGTAGAGTGTGCGATCTGGTAGATTTTATTTAGTTAGTAACGAACTTAAAAGCAAATTGAGAATTAGTAATTTTTAATAATGAATGTGTAGTGAATCTTGCATTTACAAAATGTACAATCACTTTTAAGTAAATTCTCTTTTATTACCTAAACTATTTATTCTTATACTAGATATAATACCAACAAAATAATTTAAGACGACATACATAATCAGAACTTATTATAACACGATTTATTATTATTATTGATATTATGAACATGTAAGTCATAATACTATTTTAAAATATGGCGTTTATTTTACAATAATAATGTGTAAAAATAACTAGACATACACACTAACTATTAATTCAAAACTTTTTAAAATAAATATTTTCTGTCTTGTCTATATAATGTAAAGATGGCGTAGGTATACGACATTTACTATGTGCTTGTAATTATTCTTTACGTATTGTGGCATAACTTTAAGAGAAATATCTCTACTGACATATGACAGATATTGTGTTTGTGTTCTGATAGTTTTATCACTTATTATACACTATTTACAATATTATCCACTTTCTTACGAAACAAAGTACCTACATATGAAGTTTCTACTACCTAAATTGAATTGATATTATTATAAATTCTTTTTGATAAAAATATAACAAATTTCTCTTAGTGTCTGTGTTACGAAAACACATTTCTCCGGTGAAATTGATAACATTAATGATGATAATCAAATAAATCGTCATTATACCAGAAGATATTGGACTAGATATCTGTAGTAATCTAATTTCCCGCTTTAATTTCTGAACTGGCTGATTCTGAGAAACAGTCATTTGAAACTCCACTCTGAACTGAGCAGAAGCTAGCTGGTGAACTTCTGTTACTTAAGGTCTGTGTACTTTCTATCATGCTTCCGCTTGGCTGGCGGAGAAAATTCTGGAATCCGATAGGATTCACATTAACCATCTTATCCGGTTTCTTTAATAATTCCTCTATTGAATATGGATTCTTCTTCTTTTCTTTATCGGTTGTCTTCTGCTCCTCATCTACATCTGGTCGATCAGTACTATCGTCACTGGTTTCAACCGAAATATGCTCAGAATTTTCCGATTTCACTTCATCTGAGTTTATTCTATTTAGCAGATCATTGTGCAAATTCAATGCATAAGGAGAAAAGTTTTTCGAATCGTGATAAGGCATCATTATTCTTTGCCAAGGATTTATTGGGTAGGGTTTTAGCAGGCCTTGTGCCTGGACCTGGTTGGCTAGAAGCCAGGATGTTGCAAGTCTTCTGTCGTAGAGCTGTGTGTGGTCCATATTTTGTGGTGGTGGGACCCTGACTGCTGAATGAGCGAAGTATGGAGGACTTTGTTGCGGTGGTAATGGTGTTGGGGGTAGCGATGACTTCAGTGCCATGTAATCCATCATATTTGGTGGTAAATCTTGTTGATGGTAAGCTTCTGAAACAAGAATATTGTAGTTATTACGCAAAGTGGTTTACTTCAGAATGTCTCGAAAAATTTTGAGACAGAATATTTGCAAAAACTATGTGAACCGAAAGAGACCATAAACATACTAAATTTTTCACTTGACTGTATCAAGACTGTAATATATAGCACTATAATTAAACGCATGGGCGTACGTTCCCTTTCAATGTATTCAGGCTTAGGATTTTATTAACGTAAGACCTAGATTAGATTTTGACGACCGGGTAGCGTAGTGGTTTGTGTAACGGACTGCTATTCTAAAGGTCGCGGGTTCGATTCCCGCTCAAGTCAAACATTTGTGTGCATGAACTTTTAATGTTTGATTTGGTCTGGGTGTTTCTATGTTTAATATGTATGTATTTACAAAAAAAAGTAGATATGTATTTATATAAGTTGTCTAGTACCCATAGTACAAGCTCTGCTTAGTTTGGGACTAGATGGCGGTATGTGAATGTGGTATAGAATATTATTATTTATTATATTATTATTACCTCAATAATATAATATGTAGTCGTATCTGGCTATTTGTAGGTGAAAAAAACTTTACTAATTACTAGTGAAAATTCGCTTAATGATGAACAGTTTAACGTTTATATTCTTTGTACAAAAGTATGCTTTATGCTTCTGTAAAAATAAAAATAGAAACTTTCGAGACGAATAACTTACTTTACTTGCGTATCTTGATTCTTTCGTCAAAGTAGAACAAATTTAAAATATTTAATATAAAATAATTATATATTGAATAGATATATTCAGAAAGCTTGAAATATTACACTGTATGAAAACAAAAAACACCTCCACACATAATTATGCCAACACAGATTCAATTATCAATATCAAAAATCAATATTATTTTGTGTAATTTTAAATCATTAAGGTAATCATATTAGAAAATTACATAATAATTATATTTTAAAATGATTCCATATGACAGCTACCTACTTACAAATATACAAACTCTTTATTTAGTACAATATTTAAGGAATGCTATTCGCCTATTCGCCAATGCTACGGTAAGACCAATCTCCCGGGTCTTTGTAACAGTGACTACCTAACTCCTAACTAAAGTAACGTTGCATTTTTCTCATTGCCTCTGTTCCAAAATTTATCGTCCCAGAAAAATAATCAAACCGACAATTTATGTCGTTTTCCTTCTAATATCACTAATAAAAATTTTCAGTTTCTGTAAGTTCGTACTTCGCCATTGATTGAGGCACGTTTGTATCTAACGACGAACACTATTAATATGATGATAAAATGGGGTATACAGGAACAGCCCACATTTCTAAAAAACCTAAATGTAAGTTCATAATATCAATACTCGTGTGTGAAGCATAAACATCAAAGGGTCAAACAACTTAATTTTACATTATGGCTTACGGAAACCACATATTTTCATTACACGGCACAAAAACTGTCAAATGTCACAATGAAATGCGCCTAACATTGCCACTGTTACTCCTACATAGCTGTGATTTAATGTATCTTATGTCCAATTATTTACGTATAATTAAATAAAAAATAAACATATTTTATCACTAGTTTCCTGACACCTGTCGCAGTAGGTGGTGACAATTTATGCCCGCCCGCCCATTTAATATGTCATTAATTAGTTAATGATTCAGTTTGTTTTTGAAGCTGGCAACCAGTCGTGTTGTTTATTTGAATTTGATGATTTTGAATAACGACATTTTAAGTTGATGAACAGTGGTAAAATGTTAACGTTTAATTAAACATTAATCTTGTTACTTAACAGCCGTTAATAGATTTTGATAAATATTGATTTAATGTTTATTTACATTTACCTACACCATAGTATTGAACTCAAGTGTACTTTTATTTGGAAATTTATGGAGTTATATTACTAGCCTATTAATCTGGTCTGGTGATTCTGATTCCTAATCCAGAGGTCTTGGGTTTGATTCCCATGTAATACAAACAATATAGTGTGCTGAGCACGCATTTCTAGTCTGCACAGGCTCTGCCTAGTTAGAGAACTCTACCATGAGTCCGAGAGTGATCTGTGTCAAATGTTATCATTATTTTTACGATAAAGGTTTTTGAAATTTTTAACCATAACGTATGTTTTATTTGACGCCCGTACAGCGTTATTTATATAAGATATAGATAACATAATGCTACTTAGAGATTGAAAGACTTAGACATTTAAAGTGATATCGAAATGTAAGTATCTGTAAAATTACTTTATTTATTTATTTCAAACTTTATGCACTTTTGTACATCGGCGGACTTAATGCCCATGGCATTCTCTTCCAGTCAACCTTTGGGTGGCGTAGAAATCATATGAGATAAGTGCACAGAGCTTTACATATTACGACATGTCACTACATATATAAACGTATACATACACATATACGACAAATCACATCATAAATACACATATATAGATACATGTATTTATAAAAATACATATTTTATTCATACACTATGTATACCGGAATATAAGGTGTACTAGGGGCTGGGCAGTTCTGCCATTTTATTAAGAAGGAGATCTGATTTTGCGCGGGAGCGCATTCCAGAGTAGTACTGCTTGACGAAAGAACGAAAAGTTCACGAAGTCGGAGTTGTAGGAGGGACATAAGAGAAGCGGATTATTTTCTGAGGGAAGATTTCTGCCGTGATTAGAGGACAGGTAACGGAGGTGGGAGCGAAGTAGTCGTAGTAGTAGGTGAGGTCGGTGAGTTTAAAAGTGAGAATCAAGAGGTAAATGCACGCTGATTACGTCGCAAGCGAATAGTAACCAGTTTAATTAAGAACGCAAAGCAGACGCATGGTCATACTTCCGAAGATTGAAAATGTATCGAATGCAGTTATTAAGAAGATGGTCCAGGTTAATAACCTGGACCATCTTCTTAAGATCTGCATTCAGGTCGACAAAACATACATCACCATTGTCAATTTTTGGAATTATTAAGGTCTGCATGAGTGTGGTTTCAGTTTTAGGAGGCAGGAAATTCTTTAGACGGTATAAACTTTAGCCAAATGTGTACAGTTAGATGTTTAAATGTAATTTAATTCAACAACTCAACACAAAGTGTCCCAGTTAATGATTTTCATTGGGTTCTTGTTCTGTTGCAATGTACAATATGTATGTATAATGTAATACACGAGTGGGAAATGTCCGTGAAAAGCTTTTGCCTCTGACTACCTATTCGGGGATACAGAAGTACGTCAAAATTTTACATACAAACACTATAATTTTGTCCTAATATGAAATTTCATTCAAATTAATAATTAACCTTCCTCAAAGCATAATAATTATGTATATTCCTGTGGTACCGAGCCGGTGTTTCTCTCTTCTTTAGGCATTTTAGCGGAGAGAGAGATTAGAATTCATACCTATGTATAGTAAAAGAAGAGAAACGTACCATGTCCGTTCCTAGTGTCATCATCACTCCACGCTAGTCCGCTGTTCCTAAGAATTCTGTTCACTGAAGACACCGAGGGTATGGAATGAGGTTCACAAACTCTTGCACTGAGCAGCCTTTCGCGAATCTCCCACGCGAACATACCAGGGTTCTCCTGTTTCAGACGAAGGATCTTCTTCACTACTGTTGGTGTTGCGACTTGCTGTAAAGAAGAGAGATTGTTTTTTATTTTTATTTTTTCTACTAAGTTACTAACTAAGTTACTTTCATTTTAGACTTTAACCATGAAGCGTGGATTTGGCGATATTACCCTACTAGGTATTTAAGTAAAATAGGATATCTAGAGTTCCCGCGTAGTAGCGAGTAGAGGATATCCGTGTGGTGACGGATTAGGAATCCGTGTGGTGACGGATTAGGAATCCGCGTGGTGACGAATTAAAACTACGGAATGTCATAACCGTTGTTCATCCCGTGGGTGTCGCAGGAGTCGACTAAGGGAGCAAACTACGCAGGATAACAGCACTGTAAAGAGAAGGAATAGTTTACTGTTACCTCAGTGACTTTCGTATTTTAAAACGCAAAGCATCAAAGTTCATAAAATAATCTCCAGTACAAACATCAAAAGCATTTATTAAAAATTTTCAATAATTTTAGCAACTGCATTTATAAATACTTTATAAAGTAATCTTGGAAGTAAATGTAATTTAAATATATTTAAATTTCCTGACGTTTCGCCTAAGTTATAATTTTCAACATCACTGCATTTATGTAGACATCGTGATACGACACAACACGAGGTATAGAACAGTTATGAAGTATCACAGTAGGAAGCGGCGTCTGTAATAGCGCTGTAATAACACAACGCTACTTGGAATCCCTATCATTTATAAGGTTTATACTGTGAAAGTGCGATGTTATTAAACGAGCCTCCTAACTATTTATGTTTGTTGGTTTATGTTGATACCTTGCTATTTATACCTTTCAAGCAGTACCTATACACATGACTGCGGACCATTGAAAGCTCTTACATCTTATTCCTATTAAAGATGGTAAATATATTAAACGATTAAACTTATTTAAATTTTTCAATTGATTACGCATTTTTTTCATTATTGTATTCGTGCCTAATGCGTCCCTGTAGTATTTTCTTTCCAATGAATAACGAAAAGTGTTAAAAATATGTATTTGTATATGTGTGTGTGTATTCGTGTATTTGTATAATTTTTAAATTATTTTATTACACCTGCCATATTTGTCACTGAATCTTCCAATAGTTGACTAGTAGATTATGCAATGTTGTATTAAGTCTGCAGAAGGTTAAGTTAAAATTTATAAATTCTTGCTCGGTTCTTTTTATAATAATTTTATATTGGTGAAAAATTTGTCTATAATTGTTTTAATGTTAATGGCGCTATCCGTTGAGACCACCCAGATCGGACATTCCGTAATCAGAAGCTAAACAATTCCCGTGGATCCCGAATCCCTTGTGGAATGTTGCGGAATGTATGTTGCTTTAAGACAAAATCAAGTTTTTTTTTGTATTTTAGTGTAGTTAGGTAATATAAAAATAGTCTAAAGTTAAAATAATTTTAATTAAAACTGTTGTAGTATGTGTTTTTCTCACAAACATTCATCTTAAACGATGTGATGGCTAGATTGCCTATAATATTTTATGTTCTTATTCTACCAAAAATAACATATATAAATATATATATATATAAAATAAAATAACAAAAAATATTACGTACTTTTTTAGAGAGATAAAATTTTTGATATTAGGTCGTGGAGACTGTTTAGTATAGATCTAGCCCCACTCACTTTCGGTCAATAAGTAAGAGGATTTAGACATCTTTAACTTAATTTTTTTTAGTCTTTGGCATTATAGAAAGAAAAGTCATTTTAGAAAGAAAATTCTTTAAAAGAAAACAAAGAAAAAGGCGCATCTAAATATTCCTCACAGTATGTAGATAAATATAAGTTCATATAGGTACGTATTTCCAAATATTGCAAGCACTACTTTCAAGATTACCGGCTATGGATTACTACCCACACCAGAGTTAATCTGTACGTTTTTATTATACGAAAAATCCTACATAGGTATATCAAGTAATCGACATACCATATTCAATAAAAAAAAACAGTGGAAAAATTACAAAAACAAAGATAGGCCTCGTTTAATAAACGCGGCGTGCCTCTCACGCTAGTGCAAAGATTAAACGCGATAGACTCCCGGTAGTCGAATCTGATATATCGAACACTCGACTATCGCCTAATGAGCAAAGCCATCGTACTAAGAATCATTACTGTTCACAGCTGATCGTTCTCACGGACTTTCATTTGGCTGATAGTCGAATAGTCGATATAGGTGTAATGAAAATTCCTACAGTAATAAAGTCCGGTAGTTATGTTTGCTTATGAACGATAAGTGTGATAAGGTCTTTAGAACACTGTTTTTATAGTTATTGAAGTCCTTCAGAAACTCTATTAAGTGGTATAAAGCAGAAATTCTTCTTGCTAAGTTCTTTAATGGCGCTGGCGTTTGCTTTAGGCCCCATTATAAGTTTTTAAGTTTTAGTATTTCTTATATTGTACTAAGAATCATGAATTGAGTACGGTACAAATAAACTGATTACTTCTATATACATTTGTATTCACAAAAAATGTGTGAAAAACAGGCATTACGGAAGACACTACTAGATATAGAGTCTAGCAATAGTTACATTTGTAAGGATATATGTATGATATTTAGAATACAAAAAATTAAATATGGTATATTAGAACCATTTTTAATTTCCAAAAGAATCCATTTCAGATCTAAATTTGAAAATCAATTGAATTTTTTTATTCATAGTTCACACAGTTCAACTCATAGTTCCACACTTCTCACAATATTATGTCAGCAGCATCTTATAACATGTAATTTACAATCGTACACATAAAAGAACAACCCTATAATTTGCCATACGATTCGGTGTAACAAAAAATGCTTTTAGCAGATTCCGAATAATTATTTTCATTATATTTACTGTGTTTCTTCCTTTCACTTTTCGTCTATAACACTCGTAATATAATAACAATAATCTCGTAGATTTCAGACTCTTGCAGGCATATAGTTGATATTTAGTAGTAAGAACTGCTCATCCCGCTGTAGGTATTTATCCCGCTTTATCGATATTGCGAATCTGATTTAATAAACACAAATTAATTTTGTCTTTTGAAATACGTTTTACTTACCTAATATTTTTTTTGAATCCAGTGAATTTTGGACAACATAAAGAGAATAAAAACTTTATACTTTAAACATAAATACTGTCACATGCCAATAGTAACAATTAAATAAAAAGTTTTTGTACAAATTAGTCGAATAAAGTATATTTTTAACTTAGTTTGTAAGAGGCCGAATGGACTATATACCTTGGCACAAAAAAAGCACTGCCACCTTTTTAAAATATATTCTTAAATTTTAAACGCATGTGCATTTGGCATAAAATCATCCGTTCAATAGGAATATCGATTGAGCTTCTAATGGCGTAATAATCGGTTACCCTTCAAAATTGACGCCTTGCGTTCAACCGAGTTCCTCGCCACACCTCTACTTTTAAACCTACTATTTACACATTAACTTTGACAGGCTACTTAAAAGTCCTATAATTATTTTTTAAAACCACATGCGTGGAAGTCACATTAAAAAAGGTAAGAATTATTGTATAATGGATTTTGGTCCGAATTTAGATAATTGTCGAACTTATTGATTCGATTCAACAGATGTAGGTGTTCCGGAAATTGATGCAATTATTAAAAAAAAAGTATAAAAGAAGTTACTAGCTTTTAAAAAGTACGAATATTTTGACATGGCATGATTTAAATTAAAGGCTAAGCTTTACTGCATCCGTTTTTATATACTTTTTTTTCAGCTAATGCATATAGTTAATTAAGGTAGACTCAGAATTTATTATTTAGTTATTTTTACATATTCCAAACTACACTTCTTACAATGATAATGCCAATCATTCTAATTTGACAAAATAAATTGAGGAAATTCTAGGTCTCTATGCTATCGGTTGATGTAATAGATAATATACTCGCATTCTCTTCTCTATAGGCTTTATATTTTGGAAGGGACTAGTCTGCTATCCATCTAAATTGGAATACCTCAGGAATGTTTAAAAATGTGTCTTTTGACCGCCTCATTAGTGCGATCAACTTCGCATAATACACTCGATTTTACAAGTAAGCACAATTTTAATGTAGTATTTTCAACTCTGTGAATTTTCTTCATATCTTAAAATAACTGACTTATGACTGCTATTTAAATCTTAAAACTGAAGAAAGCCCCGTTATATAAAAAATATACATGCAGTTATTGTATAAGAATTTAAAAACTCAATATAAGTAGACTTCCCCTCACCAGCATGTAAACTAGTAGTAGTAGACTTCTGATCACGAAATAGTCCAAGTGATTGGGATCCATTAAAGTGATTTCGGAGTAAGACCACATTTTAAGCAGGCGTTCGTTATAGATGAAACTGTTTTGCAAGATATCAGGAACCTGACAATCTATAAGGTAGGTAAGGATAGCCATATAATCGGCCAAATGATTTTGAGGGGGTGCTGGCTTTCACAACAAAGCTTTTTGAATATCCTTTAGTTAAGACAGTGGTGACTATAATTCACAATACACTTAAGTCTTGATGGCATGTAAGTGACATGTATTTCTATATAAATATAAGTGTAGTCGAGTCGAGTACGTCAACTCATCGGTCTCGCTTGTCATGTGGACATGCAGAGCCGTGACAAGCACCTGGGAAAATGGTAACAATCAACTTTATCTTATTTAAACATCTGATATGGAATTTAAAGGTTTATTAATGCTAGCCGTTTTACTTGACTAAGCATTTTATATCAGTTGTTTATTATGGACCCTTATAGGAAGCTTGTATAGACTCTTATATCGCTGTTCTGAATTTGCATTTGACTGAGGCTATCGGCAAATTTTAGAAATCATTAATATTCCAAGAGATACTTACTGCAGCCCAACTCTTGTAGTGTCTATAAGAGCAAGAGTCATGTTTCAGCCACGAACTAGCAAGCACATAAGTACAAAATTAAAAAAACATGAAAACTCAACTGGGGACTCTAATCGGTTTTCAAACGAGACGAAGGTTTGAATAAAATTGAGTCAAAACGGATTAAAAACTAGGG